TTAACAATGGGTAACAATAATGATTCTGCAAAACCTGACATCAGGTTATTGATCAGCCCCATAGGAAGACAATCACTCCTTGGCAAGAATTGTAATTTTCAGTTTGGAGGTTATGAGCTTTAATTTGGTCACAGAAGGTACATTCAGAATCCAGTATAGCTGTGATCCACAAACATTGTGAATGGGAGAAGAGCATTAGCCAGTAAAAATCCTTCTTCAAACAAGTTATATTTATCAAATTTAGTAACCTTAAACTATATCAAACCTAACAGATGCCTGGTAGTACAAAAACTTGAAAATTGCTGAAAAGAGACACCTTTCAAAATTTTTCATCTTGCACTGATCAAAGTGAATATATGCTAAATTTTAAAAGATCAAAACAAAGTAAACTAAGCGTGTGAAGATTAGTTGGCCAATTGACTTTGATTGTTTAAGATCTAGCCACGGAGAAAGCAATGGGGTCACATCCTTCTGGGTAATTCAACTAAAGTGCAAGGTTTGAAAATATTCATTTAGTTGGTGGAGAATAGGTCCCTGCGTAAGAATATATGTCACTTCGAGCAAGTGTAATGACCACATTACCAACTTGATTAATTATCTTAAATTGCTTGTTAGTGTAACGATCAGCAAACTCAGGATTGTTCAGCAAGGGCAGAGTACTAACTGTAGTCAACTAAACTATGCTTGGTAAAACCAAAACAAAACATCTGCTGTTAGATGTGACCCTGTGATGGGGTAGAACTAACTACATATCAGGTTGATGATCAATTCCAACTATAAAAGTGTAACCAGGTCCACCACACGAGCCTTCCAGATAAAAGCAAAATTCTGCAGATTCTGGAAATCTAAAATAAAAACTGAAAATGCTGAAGAAATTCAGCAGACTTCAGTTCTGAAGAAAAAGTGTATTATACCTGAAATGCTAGCTCTTTTACTCTCTCCACAGATGCTGCCAGACCTGCTGAGTTTCTCCAGCAATTTTTGTTCTTATTTCACTAGTCCTCAAGGCTTATCAAGTGTTTCACAACGTTAGAAGCAAAGCATTCAAAAGATTTCTTACACACAAACCTTGCAATAATCTTACAAATACAGCTTCGAGAAAGACACAAGATGGCCAGCTAGATAATGCTGAGGGTTAACTAACATTTGGAATGGAAGTATTGGTTCTTGGAAGTGTCACCTTTACACCTTACAGATGAAGCAATTCCATTTTCAGGTGGACCAAAATTTTAACTTATAAAATCATAGAATCGTGGAAAGGTTACAGCACAGAAGGACGACATTATCTTGACAAAGACATAAAAGTGGATCTTAAGTGAATATTCAGAACGTAGGCGAAGAATGATTAATAGCAAATTTATCCATGCAATTTATTACACAGTGCTGTACTGTGTTGCTGTCTGGAATTCAATTGTACATGATTATTCAATAAGCTTATACATTCTGACTAAACTTTTAACCATGAGGAAAGGGACATCAAGGATTAAATGAAGTATAATGAGTGCTGCTGCTTCTTATGATATCTGTTGCTGGCAGTTTAGCATTTCACGCAAAAGACAGCACTTGACAATGTCAGCAGAGGGGTTGCATTCAGTTTCTGGAGTAGAAATGAGTTCCAGCGCTTCCAGCTCAGAATGCTTTCCGTTGAGACACAAAGGTGACCTTTTCTCATCCATGTAGTAGGTGTGACTGGACTGGTAAGTGAAAGTGTAGTCCTTTAATAGTATTCAACCTCAACTTATGTTTATATAACAAGTTTAATGTAAGGAAACATCACAAGATTCTTTACAAGAACATTATAAAACAGAATAAGTCATTGAGTCATTTAAGGAGATATTAGGGCGGATGATCAAAAGCTTGGCTAAAGAGGTGAGTTTTAAAGTGAATTTTAAAGTGAGGTGGAGAGGCATGGAGAGGGTTTTCCAGAGCTGTGGGCCGAGGCAATCGAAGACACTGTCACTGATAGTTAAACAATTAAAATATGGGGCGCGTAAGAGGCCAGGATTAGAGGAACACAGAAACCTAAGCACAGAGACAAAGAGGGATGAGGCAATGGAGGGATTTCTAAACAAAGATGAGAATTTTAAAACCAAGGTGTTTGTCTGGGAACCAATGTAGGTCAGCAAGCAGGGGTTTTACTGCAATGGGACAAAAATAGAAATTGCTGGAAAAGCTCAGCTGATCAGCAGCATCTGTGGAGAGAAGTCAGAGCTAACATTCCAGTTGAGTGACCCTTCCTCAAAACTTGACCTGAAACATTAACTCTAATTTCTCTCCACGGATGCTACCAGACCCACCGAGCTTTTCCAGCAATTTCTATTTTTGTCTCTGATTAACAGCATCCACAGTTCTTTCAGTTTTTGGGATTTGTTATGAATTAAGCAATGATCAGGAACCTAAGGATATGTTGGAATAATTGAGCCAAGAGGTAAAAAGGTATGAATACAAGTGACATAGTGCTACCGCTGTATCTCCAATTTCTATTCCCTTCAGGTGCTCCAGTATTTGTGTCAACTTTTAAATCAACTCACATTTAATCTGGAGAAATTATTTGGTAGAATGATGGAATGATTTGTAAGATTAGTATTTTGTAATATATGTTATAAAGAAATGTTGCAAAAATAAATCATAACAAATGCCCAATGAATAATTATCAGTTCAATAACTATCTTCTATATTCTGCATTCATCGTTCATTCAAGAAAAAGAGTTCATAGAATCCCTACAGTGTGGAAACAGGCCCTTCAGCCCAACAAGTCCACACTAACCCTCAGAGAATCCCATCCAGATCCATCCCCCTATAACTCACCTAATCTACACATCCCTGAACACTACGGGCAATTTAGCATGGCCAATCCACCTAACTTGCACATCTTTGGACTGCAGGAAGAAACCAGAGCACTTGGAGGAAACCCACACAGACGTGCAAGATCTACATGGACAGTCACCCAAGGTCCTGGCACTGTGAAGCAGCAGTGCTAACCACTGAGCTACCGTCCTGCCATATTTCATTCAGCATGAAACGGGGAAGTAGAAACTAATGTTGTCTGCTCTGTTGGATATGATATAAGTTATGTCATGGTAGGAGTTCAAATATTTGTTTCTGTCAAAATTATGCATCAATTAAATATAATTTATTATAGTTTGCCATGTTTGGAAAAAGCCTACATTGAGTTTTTGATTGCTTAAATGTACAATGCAGGCTTCTTGTATACAGATTTGATGAATGGTAATTTTTTTAAAACATGTATTTACAATCCTATTTTCATAACATCCTGTCTTATGAATCAAGCCTGCTCACAATCAACAGTAACAGCAATGCTGCCCTGAGATTTTATGGAGGTTTCAAACATTCACATATTTTAACTAGAAATAAATAAATTTTCAGCTACTGTATTAATTTAACTATAAACAGATTTTGGTGTTATTTTAAGGAAATGTTAAGCTGTAATTTGCTTTAATATTATCCACCTATAATGAATGCAAGTATTCGAAAAAATAGCATAAGTACCATGGAAACATAAATAATGTCTGGCTGGAATCATGAATTAAAACATTTATCTGCGCAATACTTCTGTTCTGTTTAAAGGGAACTCATACATTTCCTGTGGGTTGGAACTTCCTGTTTCAAGTGCTTCCACCATAGTTTTCTAGGCCATCATTCTTGACTATTTGAATACATCTTTACTCCAGACTAATTAAACATTGACCCAAAAACACACCAAAAAATGTCAGCTTTTACCTTTGGCTCGTTTTTAAGAATGTCCACAATATTCTTATTTTCAAAACAAATACTGCAGAAGACTGTCCGGAGCAACACTAATAAAACTTCTGTAATCCTGCATAAAAACTAGTTTTTCATGGCTGTGTCCCCAGCTAAGAAAGTGCCTGCAACAGGAAATTGCTGTTCATTATTATATCACCAGAACTGACAAAGTAGCCAATATTGCTTTCTCTTCAAAAGAACACAAGATTCAAAAGAAAAAGATCCATGTCAGATTCTTGGGTCTGTGACAGCACTGCAGGCGTACACAAAACAGAATGTGGCTCTGGGATCGCATAGGATCTTGGTCGGTCTGTGATTGCATTCATCCTTGGGTTTCCATTTAACACTTTAGGCTGTACTTGGTTCATGTTAAAATATATTTTATAATTGTGTTGAAGATTAAATATAGACACACACAAAGAAGTCAAAAAGATTCCACACCCGTTCTTTTGCTCACAGTTTACTCCCCTGATGTCCCTTCATCCTCCTCTAGAAGTGTTAAATCTTGTAGGGGTGCCTTGCCATGGTTATGAACAGTACCTCACCTGTGTGAATCTGATAAAATGCCTGTGCTCACCTGAGGTACATTCTTGTCCACTTTACAGTGGGGTCAGCTAGAAAACCATAACTATTAATAAAGAATGGAAGGAAAGAACTGGAAACCTGGAATTTTGTTCTATTCATTAAGCTTCGGGGCTAAATTCCCTTTGCTTAAAGGCTGTAATAAAGCCTATTAAAAGGTTGAATCTGATTAGGAAGTTTCAATGGACAGGTATTTAAATATGCACAACAAATTAATATTCAACTTTGAGAAATAGTTTCTAAATTGTTGGATTGAAAGCATTGCATAACATGATCAAGGTTCAGTTAAATTCTGTATATGTGAGAATTGGAATTCAGCTTTAAAAAATGAAAACTAACATCAAGAAAAGGTGTCAGGTTGTTGTAAAATCCCAAATGGTGCAGTAGTGTTCTTTGAAAAGAAAAGCGGCTCGTTTTACTGCACAAACTGATATGTTATTTCAGTCCCACACCAGCCTGGTTGATTATCATTGGCCATCAGCAGAGACCCAGCATTTTCATCAAAACACTACAAAGAAAAAGATTGGAGTCAAGAAGGCCACCCCACTTTCTAACAAAACATCTAGGTATGGATAGTAACTGATGGGGATTCATATTCAATTCCAGGAATAAATAATATTTGTTTAAAAACATTTATGGTACAGAAGCCTTACCAGTACGATACACAAAGTTTCCATCTGTTTCAGATGACGATGGTGATGCTAATTCTTCTTCGTATTCATTGGAGCTGAAGGACCCAGAATGGTGTCTTTTCCTGTCAGTAGCTTTCATAGCTGCATTTGATGCCATGACATGCCTTAGGGAGTCATTCAGATAGCGATGTAACAAGCTACTTTTGTATTTCGGTGGGGACACATAATCCTCATTGATTGTGGTGCCTGGTCTTCCAACTGCCTTCAGAATAGGACTTTCCTTTTTAGCAACAGCCTGAACTGGTTTGTTGAATTCTCCATCTGCAGGGTTTCTTGGTGGATGTTCCACATCTAAGATTTATAAAGTGTAAAAAAAAATTAAAGATCCTGTGATTGGATGCAGAAAAAAAAATAAAATGCTTTTTCCATGTGGGAGTTTTGGCTTCATGAACAGAGATACAAAGCAAGGGAGTTATGTTAAGTCTTTACAAATCATTGGTTAGGCCCCCAGCTAAAATATTGCAGTCAATTCTAGACATGACAGTTTAGAAAGGATATCAAGGCCTTTGAGTGAATGCAAGATAGATTTACCAGGATGGTAATAGGAATATGGAGTTTCAGTTACATCAATAGATTAGAGAAGGTAGGCTTTTCTCCAGCGAATGAAGGGGTAAGACATGACTTGATTGAGGTGCTCAAAATTATGATGGCTTTAACAGAGAAAATCAGGAAAAATGGTTTCAACAGTGGACAGCTTAGTAACCAGAGAACACAGGTTTGAGGTAATTAGCAAAAGAACCAGGCATGAAATGAGGCGTTTTTTTTAAAGGCCAAATTATTATGATTTGAAAGCAGATTCAATGATATCCTTTAAAACGGAATTATATAAATACTTGAAAGAAAAAGCTTTGCATGGCTATGTGGGATGGACAGGTGAGCAGGACTAATTGAAAAGCATTGTTCATGCTTCCATGTGATATGGGAATTGCAGGCTTGGCTAGCATTTGTTACCTGTCTCTTGTTGTTGATCATCTCGTGGAACTGCTCATTTGGTGTAGTTACACTCACAGAGCTGTTAGAAAGAGAGTTCCAGGAATTTGATACAATGAAAATGAAAGAACAGCAATATAGTTCCAAGTCAGGATGGTGTCTGAATTGGAAGAGAATTTGCAGATGCTGCACCTTCATTCCTTGCTAGGTGGTGGAGGTCACGGATTTAGAAGGTGCTGTTAAAGGAGCCTTAGTGAATTGATGCAGTGTGGACAGTGGACACTTAAAAATCACTGAAAACAGATATGAAATCAACACATCAGAACTAAATGTAATAAAACCCAATTCAGAATGATAACAGCAATTTATACAGCACGAGAAAAGGATGCTGATTGGTTGAACTGTAGTTGGCATGGCGATACAGCCGGGACTGTTAACTGTCAATCTTAGATATCTAGCTAAATTCAAACCAAGCAAGTCGATATCTAATATGGCAGTTTCAGAAAGATAGGTGTTTGACTGCTAGAAATGGTAGAAGAGGTAGATTGGTAGCGCACAAGTCTCCTGTGGTTATTCTCATCTCAAACTGTTATGCATTTTGGATACTGTAGTGGGAGGTTGCCTCTTGGGGGAGTATAGGACTGACTGACAGGTTTCCGGTACTATTACTGAGTCTACTGTAATGAGGTATTTGTCAGGTTCCAAACAAGAGAGAGAGGCTGAATAGGCTGAAGCTTCCTTCCCTTGAGAGTTGCAGACTGAGGGGTGACCTTACGGGAGTTTATAAAATCATGAGGGACATGGACAGGATGAATAGCCAAGGTCTTTTCCCTCAGGCGGGGGAGTCCAAAAATAGAGCACATAGGTTTAAGATGAGAGGGTGAAGATTCAAAAAGGACCTGAGAGGTAACATTTTCATGCAGAGGGTTGTGCGTGTATGGAACGAACTGCCAGAGGAAGTGGTGGAGGTGGTACAATACCAACATTTAAAAGGCATCTAGATGGGTATATGAATGGGAAGGGTTTAGAGGGATGTGGGCCAAATGCTGGCAAATGGGACTAGGTCAGTTTGGGATGTCTGGTTGCCACAGATGAGTTGGACCGAAGGGTCTGTTTCCATGTTCTGATGGTCTATGACTCTGTGACTCTAATTGGTTCGTTTGGTGCCATGGGGAGATAGCAGGGAATTTTTCTCTCTATTGTATTATCATGGATGAAAAAAATGAATGTGTGGACTTCAAAACAATTCCTGATTTGACTTTAATTTAATTATTTAATAATAATTAAATATTGGGGCCATTCACTTTGTAAAAATCCAGATGTGTCATTTCGCCCTCAGGTACAATCCTGATATGAATATTTTTCAGATTTTAGGATTAACACATCTATCTCCAGATTGGATTGGACATTCTTATCAATTTGCATTTCTACAGATAAGCATATAATCTCCAGGCAGGACAAATACTGTAGAAACATGTGAAGCTTAACATTTATTGCGTATTTTACAACTTCAGCTTAAAGATGTTTTGCTAGCAGAATGCAATAACTTTCTCAATAGAAATGAAATTTTCCAGTCATATACAATCAATATTTGCTTCAATTGTATTCTGAATGTCTGTATACAAGTTAAGACATGTAAGCAGTAAGAAATTTGAAAGTGCAGCTAAACTCCAACCATCAGACAGATATGCATTTATCACTTCTCACTACAATCATAAAGAACATTTTCAGGAAAATAACTGGATAAAATTTATTTATCACTCAACTTAAATTTTATAAATTTGATGAAAAGTTTAACTGGTCAAAGTACCAGGGGAATTATCAGACCTATTCCATTTTTCAATTTATTTTTTATAAGATTTGTTGTTCTGGCCAGGTTGGTAGTCATTTACCCGAATGGAGAGAATGCAACAGTTGCTGCACCTACTTCTAAACATTTACATCAAAATGTCTGTCCAGAGTACTGATGGAAAATTCTATACTTCATTTGACCTCTCATGACGCAACGATAGATAGATGAGTATGATGGAAATAGGACATAGGAAGTCTGGAAGGGGATATAGTTGGTTAAGCAAATAGGTAATCATTTAGCAGATGAAGTATAATAATTGGAAAATGTGAATCTGTTCAGTTTGACAGGGAAGAATAGAAACATAGCATATTATTTAAATGGAGTGAGATTGAAACATTCTGTGGTACAGGGGAATCTGGGTTTCATGATACATGAACCACAGATAATCAGGATGCAAGTATTGCAAATGTTTACTGCAAGGAGAATGGAATAGAAATATTTGGCTACAGTTGTAGAGGATATTGGTGAGGCCACACTGGAACATTGTTTGCAGTTTGGGTCTCCTTACTTAAAAAAGGATAGAACTACATTGAAAGCATTTCAGAAAATGCTCACTTGACCAATTCCCAAGTCAAAGGGTTTATCTTATGAGGAAGGTTGGACTGGTTGGGCCTGCATCCTCTCAAGTTTAGATGAATGAGTGGTGATCACATTGAAACATATAGGATCCTAACAAGGCAGATGCTGAGAAGATTCTTTGCCCTATGAGGGAAGTTAGAACCAGGGCACCTCGTATACAAAGAAGAAGGATCCCACTTAAGAGAAAGATGAGGAGATCTTCTTTCTCTCAGAGGGTAGTCTGTGGAATTCTCTTCCCCAGAAAGTGGTAGAGGTGGTGTCACTGAATATTTTTAGTGTCTGATTTTATTAGATTCTTGATCAACTAAAACAGTAAGCAGGCTATTAACATTCGGACCTAATATACAGTAATAAGGCATGACTGGCAGAAGATCTAGGCAGGTCGCAGGTACTAAATTTCCTTTTAAGATGTTTGGGAGGTAGGAAGGTTCAATGCACATGTTATTCTTTACATGCATATAAACAAATTATGGATGAAATATTCTATAATACTGAGTTTTATTTCTGAAAATCAATTGCAAGGTATCTTTCATTCCTGTAATAATGACTATGGTCATCAATCCATCAAGCAAGAAATCATTATGCAACTACTGTGAGTGCTGCTGTGGTTATCCAGGTCTGCAATAATATGGTACTCGGTTACATGGAACAAAGAGGCCTCAAATAGAATCTCAACTCTGATATCAGCTAGTCTATGGTCTTCCTGAGGAAAGATTTACTAGCACTCCAGTTTGATGGGTTCTGAGATGACTAATAAGTCCATTGTACAATCTGCAGACATGTGGGACAGGTGGTACTTTAAGATTTGAGTACATCGGTTATTTGGACATTTGTACATTCCCTTTTTTGCCTCACCTTTACTTTTGCATGTTCGAAACAATGTCTGTCAACATGTTTGGTGCCTTCCCAAATGAACTTTTGTGATTTTGGCTGGTCACAAGCCAGGATCCCCCAAGATATATGTTTGACTTCTTCAGGAATGTTTGAAGGACAGCTCTAAAAAAAATTCTGCCACACTTCTGGGAGTTTCCTGCAGCAACTGAGTTCTGAGTAAAGCAGTTACTTTGGGAATTTAGCGTCGGATATTCGGATAACATGTTCTATCCAGCGGAGATGGTTTTTGTGTGAATAGCCCTCAAGCAGGGCAACATGGGACAGGATGCTGCTGTTAGGACACTTTTCTTCCTAGAAGGATTTGGAGGATCTTGTGTAGGCACCATTGATGGTCATTATCCAATGCTTTAAGGTGCCTGATACAGGTTCAAATAGTTGTTATAGTGGACTTTGGGGTCAATCAGGCATTTTGGGCACAGTGTGGCTGGAGATTGAGAGTTGTCAGGGAGGCACTGACAAACTGTATTATTACAATAAAGTATTTCAGACTTTATATGAAAACAGTGACTTGATGAAATCTTTGAGGCTTTTGATATGAATTTTCTTGTGGCATTATTTCTATTGCCTCTGTTGTTTTAGTGCCATGCTAATGGAGATGGTAGATTGATAAGGCAATGATTGGTTGAGCAGTCATTGTATCTTTTATAGCATGAGTGATAGCAGCATCTATGTGGTCCCTTCTTCAAGCGATGATTTAATTGAGAAGGTGCCAATGTTTGGACTCTGGGTGTTACCATGAGGTTGTCTCACTGGCAGAACAGGGTCTTGGCTATGACAAGGCCATATTCTCAACAATTCACCAGGGAGGCATTCCAATGATGTTATCTTTCACTATTCCCTCTTTGCCCATCAAATTCTTCCAGAGATTTACATCTTTCCTAATTCTGAAGTTGAAATCTTCAAGAATGTTCAATGTGTCACCTGTTGGTATTCAGGCTAGGGTTTGCTTGAGGTTAGTTCAGAATCCCTCCTTGGTCTCACCTGTTGCTTCAAGAGTGGAAGCATTTGCTCAGATGACCAGAGATTGTTAATTCTTCATTCAGATCAGCTAGACAACTGGAAGGTATTTGCTTTTCCCACAGCATAAGCACTGAGACACCAAAGTTAATTTTCCCTTGATCTTAACTACATGCTTATTTTAATCCTGACTTTAAGAATTTGACAGGTGTGCTGCCATTGACGTTCTGTCTCTTGGCTGAGTGATGGAAAATGTAGAATTGTCCCCAAGTGACCTGTGCTGCAAAGTGCACTGTAGGGAAATCGGGGAGAAGGGATTAGCTATGATGCTCTGCGCAACTTTCACTGAATTGGCTAACACATGAAAAATGGCCACTTGGATGGAACACCAGAGGATGGTTGGATTGAATGCATTACATCATGGCTAATGAGGCTTATATCCTATAGCCTTTAACATTTTAAAATCCAGGTTAAAAGTAGCTAACTATGAGTAAGAACATTTTGCATTCCTCAGCGGACATAACAAACTAAACATTGATTGAAATTGGTAGCAAGTGGTATGTAGCATTTCCTAAATTTCCTGCTGACTGTGGTCTACTTTCTGATGATAGCCCAACCCAACCTCACTTGACTTAGGCCATGTGTCCAACACAAACCTTTCTGTCTCAACTCCTGGTAAACCTGAACTATATCAGTATATTTCACATGACAACCTCCTTTTTCAGGCCAAAGATGCTTTATATATTTCATCCATTCATCTCCAAAAATATCTTGCTTGTGAATTTGTTTCCAATATACCAAAGAAGTTGGGACAAGGCTGTTAGCAGGACTTCAACTGAGTCTTTGAAAATAATTAGGAGACCTGAGAGAATCATTCGATTAATATGATGAATGGGATCATGAACCCTGCAAAGCTGTTATTCACTATTTTCAACAGGTTCTATTGAAACTTTAAAATCTCACCATTTCTTTAGACAATAAACTTACAGGCTTAATTATGCATAATAATTCACTTCTGTATCACTTCCCACTCACATGCAGAACTTTAGGAGTTTTGTTTTGCTTAAAATAACATTTTTGTTTGCTCAGACCCAAATTGCAAATGGTGGTAAAACATGACAAAAGGTCTTTTAGCTCATTCCATCATTCATGGATTCTGAAAAACAGTCATCTCAGACCTGAAATGTTAACTCCACAGATGCAGACCCGCTGAGTTTCTCCACCGATTTCTATTTTTATTCTTGCTCACTACTTCACTTACATCTACTTTTTCATTGAAATTAATGGAAACAAGAAAAATAGGAAATTTATAGTTTGTTTGATATGATGCCTTTCAATTTGCTTTGTTTAGAGATTATCCCACCAGGACTTTACTAACTTTGGCATATGATAATATGCAGGAATAGTTACATCATCTCAAACACACATCCTCCATTAAAATGCATTTCTAAAAGTTTGCAATTTTTAAATATGTTCTTCAGGCACAAAGGAACCTGCAAACCTATACGCAAACCAATTCCTTTAAATGAATAATTTGTACTTAACTGTAAGTTAAGTTGGAGATGTAGTGTTTTTACTTAATATTACATTTTATTTTCTCTTCAGAGAACGGCATCTTTGTTGGACTGTAGGTTGGTTGCTATATTCATAAATAGCTGAACATTCTGTAATAAGGCAATGCCAATGAACTATAAAACATGTTTTATAATAAAAATATAAGAACACAAGGAAAAGGAGGAGTAGGCTATTCAAGCCTGCCCCACCATTCAACAGGATCTGCCTAGGCCTCAATTCCACTTTTGTGCCAGTTTAGCATAGCCATCTACTCCCTGATATTTCAAAAATCTATCTACCTCCTCCTTAAATACTTTTGGTGACCTAGCCTTCGGGGTAGAGAATTCCAGACATTCATTACCCTCTGGGAGAAGAAATTGTTTCATAGCTCAGTTTCAAGCAAATTCTGCAACTATGTCCCCTCATTTGAGTTCCTCCCGCTAGTAGAAACATCTTCTTAACATCTATTCTGTGAAGTCTGCTCAGAATCTCAATAAAATCACCCCTCATTCTTCTAAGCTCTAGTGAATAAAGGTCTAACTTGCTCAGCTATTCTTGATAAGTCAACTCTGTCATCACAGGAATCGGGCTAGTGAATCATTTTTCAACTGTCTCCTATGCCAGTATATCCTTTTTGAAACACGGTGATAAAAGCTGTACACAGTACTCTAATTGTGCCCTTTCCAACAGTCTGTTCAGATGTAACAAGGCTTCCCTATTTTTAAACTGCAATCCCTGAGCAATAAAGGCCAAAATTCCATTTGCTTCCTTAATCTCTTGCTGCACCTCCATGCTAACATTTATGTTTCATATATAAGATCACCCAGATCCCTTTGCACTGCACTTTTTTGGAGTCTCTCTCCATTTAATTAAGTCTTCTTATTTCATTAAAAGTGCATGACCTATCACTTTCCTACATTAAACTCCATCTTCCAAGTTTTTGCCCACCTGCTCAACCTCTTTATATTCCCTTGCAAATTTCTACATCCTCATCACAACGTGCCCTTCCACTCATTTTATCATCCTCAGCAAATTTGGATATATTTCACTCTGGCCCCTTCTCAAAGCCATTGATATAAATAGGAAAAATTGAGGTCTTTAGGACTGATCCTGGTTCTAATTTCTGATGCACTCTTCTGCACATATTTTCTACCCCTCCCTGTCACACTTTGCCTAACATTCATCTTTTCAGTATGCTGTCCCTCCGCTCTCTTATTTCATTTTGATTTTTTAAAAACTTATGTTCAATTGAGCTCTTCCTCAATCCCACGAATTATTTTAAAACACCATCTACAACTCTAGTTTCACAATTCGCCAGGACACTGGTACCAGCATAGAACGCACATTAGTCTTTTGGAACACAACAATCTTTTTCTTCATTTGCCATACCTTCAGAACATGTGTCATCACTACTAATGCTGAGTCGTTCTGCATTGCCTTGCACGTACTTGTTGTATAACTTTATTCGTAATGCCCAGCTCAAATCTGGTTGTCTAACGGTATTCTTCAGGCGGCGCCTAGCATTTGCAAACCAGTTGGAAACCTATTCAAAAAATATGAAATTTCATTAATAAAAGCTTAGTTGATAATGAAACAAGAGTTAAAAATTTTCAGTTCAGGCAAATGTCACCAAGAAGCATTGATGACTTGTGTTTGTTCATTGTAGATTTAAATATACATAATTTGATTTTTATGTGAATGCCATATGTCAACTCTTACATAAATAATTTCTCTATTTCAAACTTTCTTGCAACATATGTTAGATAAAAACAAAATATCACCAGCTCATGATATTTCCACAAATGTTTTTATTGTGGCACCAAATTCAAATTCCTGCGAAATTGTTTTTGGACTTCAATAATAAGGTTTTAAAGAGTGACTCATTTCTAAAATACTTAGAGCAGTTGTTTTGAATCCAACTATTGTTTTCCTAAAGTACAGGTTTTCCATTTGTATTCCAGAATTTGTTCGTAGTAAGCAAAACTATTTGTTAACAATTGTGGTGAAAGTTCTGGGTGTTCAGAGAGCTTCAGAAATTTTCTCTTCAATCCTTTCTAGTGGGGCCTTTCATATGTCAGCATGAAAGTTAGGGACTTGGGAGATCCTTAACTTAATTCTATTGAATTCCTCTATCTAACATGAAATGAAATGGTTAAAGCAAGTGAATCGAGTGAATTAGACAAGATTTCACAGCAGCAGGGTCACCATATGTTGATGCACTGAGGCACTTCACTTGGCTGCTCACTGGAAGCAGAAATTGTTTTGAGTTCTGTAAAGACAGTGCAATAGAACGTGGCAGGAAAGACTTCATGCTGATTGTGGTCACAGGGGGGAGCAGAAGAGTTCAGCTAACCAGCAGCAAGCATTGTCCTGCCAGTTGGACAAAGTACAAGGCTTAAAAATAATCCAAACAAATCTGGGACCTGGCTGCAGATGTTATTGAGTACTATAAAGATATTTTAAAAATGATGAGAGATTGAATGTTGATGGAATCACAAATGGATGAAGTTACAATAAGTGCTTTTATAAACACAAAATAGCAAATTGGTTGCAATTAAACAATGATGAAGAGAACTTGCCTGTCTCTTTTAAATAAAGAACAACAATTTGGCGCATAAAAGGAACAGAAAATTGAAAATAATAACAGCTGGATTAATTTAGGTTTGAGTCTTAATCTGAGCTGTTTGCATACAGCTGCAACAGAGGCTTCTACCTAAGAAACTGTTAAAGGAGTCCAGATAAGTCCTGTCAACAAAACACAGGATGAATCCAAACTGCCTATTACTGCCTTCTCAGTCTAATCTCAATTATTAGTTAAATGATGGAAGATCTCGTTGACACTGCTGTCAAATCATGCTTACTATTCAACATTTATTTTGAGTTCCATCAGGGCCATGTGATGTGGAGGATGACAGAGTGACTGACTTTGACATCAAGACTATATTTGACAGAATGTGCATCAAGGAACCCTAGTAAAATTTAAGTCAGTTAGGACCAAGGGCCAAGTGCTAAGAAATGACCATCTCTAACAAGAGCAAATCCAACATCTCTACTTGAAATTCAAAGGCATTTTCATCACTGAATTCACCCACTATCAACAGCATAGGGGTTACGATTGACCAGAAACTGAACTGGGATTAGCCATATAAATATTGTGGCTACAAGAACTATGTAGCAAGTAACTCACCTCTGACTCTCCAAAGCCTGTTAACCATCTACAAGGCACCAGTCAGGAAGGTGGGGGATTGGTCTCCATTTGCTTGAGTGATTCAGGCTCCAACACCATAACAGCCTGTTGGATGAACATCCCATCCACCACCTTAAATATTCATTTTCTCCACCACCAGTGTATGGTGGCAGCAGTTATCATCTACCAAATGCAATGTAATGATTTGTCAAAGCTCCTTCCAATACTGTGACCTCTACTAGCTAGAAAGACAACAGAAGCAACTGTTAGGGAACTGCAAGTCCCTGTCCAGGGCACACACCATTCTGACATAAGAACTACATCAGAATTCCTTCATTGCTGCTGGGTCGAAATATGGAAGTCCTTCCCAAAGAACACCTTCAAAATGATTGCAACTAAAAGATTGAAGTAATATCCTGCTCGGGTAGGACTGAGAGATTCAATGGTAGCTAAAAGAAATGTAGTGCCTAATGGATTTGGTGTAAATTGCCAACCATCAAAAAATGCACAGTTTGGAAATATGAAAAACAATCAAAGATAATGAACTCAGAAGGAAACATCGCTTTTGGGAAATGATCAGAGCTGCTGAAAACTGACTTCTGTATCAGTTACGGCTGCACATTTGTTACCATTTCTCACTGGACTGCTCAACTTTCCCGAAATGGCTCTTTACGGACTAGTTATTTTGCGGTATTGATTGAGAGGGTAGGCTCAGATTGCTTGGGTTTCACATTGGCTGTAGCATAAAATTTAACTGTTGGAAAGACATCTCTATAAAACTTTTTTTATAAAGTCTCCAAAGATCCTTCAGACTTCACTTTAATATTATTAAAAGCCAACCCAGAGAAGGATCCCGGCACAAATATTTCAGGCTGCATTGACTGAGATGCAATTTCTTAGGCTTAAAATAATGTACTAATGGACTGGATAATTCTAGTTAAAATGCAGCACTAAACAAATTAATGTATGAAATTGTAGCAACAACATGGGTAACTATCAAATCTGCCATGTTTAAAATGACATTTTGTCATTGTTAAAAAATAGCAGCTGTCTGATTTTCTCAATTCAAATTTTATTTTACATGTGTCAACACAGTCAACCAACATGCCATCACTCCCATGTGAATGTGAATTAGTTTAGGGTGTATGTTTAGGGAGAAGTGGCAGTATAACAAAGGACAGATTATTAATCTGTCAGTATTGCTGTATTATTGCAAGCAGCCAATTCAATGCAATAGTATTTTAAGATAAATAAAATTCGCTACAATTCAGCAATCTGAACGCAAGGAAACTGGCATTTTACAGCGGTTAACATTCACGGTGTATTAAATTGTGATAAATTAGCGAAAAGATCCGGAGTGACATTTACAATATTATTAAATAAACATTTCGTTGCTGAATGTAATAATTGATCTAGAATTTCTTTTTCCTAAGGGGGGACCAGCAGGCAGCAGGTTACTGTGTTTTTCTTTGCCTGTTTTGATTGGTAGCTTTTACAGGAATGTTACTTTCACATAAATATCATTGAGATATGTCTCTGAGCACCTGTATAAACAGAATATCAATAAACGGGGATAGTGGGAACTGCCGATGCTGGAGAATCTGAGATAACAAGGTGTACATCTGGATGAACACAGCAGGCCAAGCAGCATCAGAGGAGCAGGAAAGCTGACGTTTCGGGTCTAGACCCTTCTACAGAA